ACCTTATGGGCGATGCAGCATCACGCGGGTCACGTGTCCCCGGCGCCTCGTGCACAGAGACACGCGAGGTAGCTGGGGATGGACCAAAAAGGGGAGGAGTTAAGGCGACTTTCACAAGGAATTTAGGAAACACCTGCTGGAGAGCACAGCGCTTAACCAACATCCGGTCCGCTCGGTTCCATTTCTAATGCAGAATCTGAGGTAGAAAATGAGGCCCGGCTGCAGCCGGCTTGGAGCACAGGCAGGTGTGCAGTGGCAGCGCGAGGACACAGAACCACTCATTTATTTTTAGCGGAGACGGTCTTGTTCCGTCCTTCATGGTGATTCTGACTCGAGTGGCTTTATTCCAGGCCTCCTGTCATCTGACACCCACAACTGGAAGAAACATGTGGAACACAAACCCAAAGAGCGAGAGTTACACGAGAAGAATGTTTCTGGGTTTCCTCTGACAGCCGAGCAGACGTGGCTTTTATTCAACGAGGCGCAGCTATTTTCAAAGCACCTCCAACTCTCATTGACTGGATTTCTTTTAGTAAACATCCCATTGTTCTGCTGCAGAAGAATTCACCCAATGTCCCAAAAAGGATTCATGCTGCTGGCCTTTTTGAAATAGATCTTTCTCACTCTGAAGAGCTAAATATACAATCCCTGAGATCAAGACTCACCCGGGAAGGATGTCATTGTCATTCAAACATTAGCCACATTTAGCCCCCAGATCACAGAATCCTTGCGCCTGGAATCCTTAAAATTCGAACACTTACTGTAACTCTGGCCGCCACTTGGTTGCATCTCTACCGTCTCACACACACAGAGAAGAACCCAGCAGTGAGTTTGACCCGAAAGCCTGCAGATGATCACTGGTGGAACGCCGGCTTCACCTTATGTAGCGCTAACTGGTTTTGTAATGAAAGTGCTGAATGGTGGCGGTCTGCAGAGTGAGTGGGAACGTGTAGTGAATGGCTTACATAAAGCTTTATTCATACGTGCACTGGCACAACCTGCCCCAGTTCCTGTGCGTAGGAGAGACATACAGTAGCTGCTGGTGTGGATGTGTGTGTGTGTGCGTGGGAAGCGTGCGTGCCATTTGTGTGCATGTAGGTGTGTCGGCTGGCAAAGGGCAGGACGAGACACACAAGTTGTAGGTAGATGAGAACGAGGCGCATTCAGAGGCTTCACTCCGAGGTAGAAATAGCACACACGTACACACACACAGAGATTTATCAGTGCTTTAAATATCAGGAGTTACTTAACACGAGGGAGGGGGGCAGAGATCAGATCGACTTCCTTACACATGGAAATAGATCTAGCTGCTGTTTTATAACCATCACATCCTTTTTTCAGAGTAACAAACCCGATGTAAGGTTCATGTGTGGGCAATTTGAATGATGCCAACATGAGACCTCTGTTATCCAATCACAAGCACACCACACATAACCACACGTCCCATCGGGGGGAGTGAACGCCAACTGAACGAGTGTCTGGACGAAGACGTCCACTGCTGGAGACACGTGTCACGCAAACACACTTCCCTCCTGCACATGTTTCTGTGCACACGGCGGAAAATGATCAATTGATGCCACTGGGGCACTGACGCCGTGACTTTGGCGTTTTCTTAATCCACATCTTGGTTTCTGGCCGTCGCCATCTTGGATATTAGCAACCACACACAACCGAAATATAAAAATCTATTTTCCTGAAGTGAAAACACAGTGAGAACGGGATGAAGATACGACTAACAGAGTTCATGCCCTTAACCCTTGAGTTGTGAGTTGTGAGTGTGATCCTAGAACTACTGAGAAACCAATGAAAGGACGGAAGGATTTTCTGGATTCTTCTTCTCTGGAGTTGTTCTGGGTCGGTTCGGAGTGGCCTCGCACCTCGACCGGGTCTCTGCGACCCAGAAGACCCCTGTTGAGCTCCAAGAGGAACGATACGCGAGATGCAGGAGGACCGAGGCGCATGCAGGAAAGACACACACACACACAAGTGTACCCAAACCCTGGAGAAATGAGTACTGTGTGGGCATTTACCAGTACGAACAGAAGGCAGTGTGTGTGTGTGTGTGTGTGTGTGTGTGTGCGTCTGTGCCCTATGAAGTGTGTGGGAGGCTGTTCAATCCTTATCTGGCCGAGGGCTCTCCATCTCTCTGTCTCTCTCCATCTCTCTCTCTCTCTGTCTCTCTCTCTCTGTCTCTCTCTCATTGGAATGACAGTTGAGTGTTATTATGTTGCCAAAACGACAAGATAATAGATCAACATTTGAGCAAATCTCCTCCCTGCTTGTATCATTATCGTGGCGTGTGTTTGTGTGTTCCAGATTGGGGTTGTGAGGCGTTCATACCTCTAGGAGACACACGCAGACACACACAGACACACACACACTATGAATCCTTAGTGTCTGGTTCCTCTCATTTACTGTCAATGAAAGGCCCAGACGAGGCAGAGCTTGACTTCTTGTGTGACTGTGTGTGTGTCTGTGTGTGTTTATGTGGTGGCGGGTTATTCTTAAGTTGGCCCTCCTGGGTGCCGCATACCAACGGCAGAACGGTCGGAATTCCTGAGAGACAAAAGCAGACAGAAAGTGTCTCTTGTGTGTGTGTGTTCTCTCTTTCACCCTCTTTGCATATTCAGCACAACGTAATTCTGATCATAAAACCATAAGCAGAACAAAGACAAACAAGTGAACAAGGGAACGGATGAAGGAAAGGACACTGAGGGGATTCCCTGCACACTTATTCCCTCCGCGGTGGAAACAGCATCAGGGATAAAAGCTAAACTAACTCACAGGCCGAGAAATAACGACACAAGAGAGGAAACGATTAAAGGAGAGGAAATGGAAATTAGGACGAAGGAGAAGGAGAAGTACACACAGACGACCGACGATCATAATAACAAAGTAAAGGAGAGAGACGACAAGAACAGAGCACAAAGGACAGACAAATCAAAGGGGAAAATGACCCAAGAAGGAGAAAATAGGATAGAAATGAAGGACACAACAAGGACACATTAGAGGGAGGACAAGAAGACAAGAGTGAGAGACGAATACGCTGAAAAGGCAACAGGAAGTAGGAGGAATACAGATGAAAGAGCAAGGGCACAACATAAGTGAGGATAAAGGAAGAATACAAACGGGGGGACGATGTCACCCTGAGGTGTCCTAAACAGCGCTGAGATAAGGAAACAAATGAGGAAACTAGGACACAACAAAGGGACCTAAACGTTTCAGCGAAGAGGAAATAATGACCAAAGAAATTATACGAGGATGCAAGCTAGAGAGCAAGGACATAACAAAGGAACCTAGACAGTGCAGATGTAGGTAAGGGACCCGGGAGAGGCCTTGAGGACCGAAATGGGACGTGCCAGCTGATATCGGGTTACTGTCCCGATCACGGAATACATGTACGCACGGACCAGACGCACTAAAGGCCCGGCTCGTATTTCTGAGAGGCAGGAGAAGTGTGCGGGTACTTTGGGTGGTCAGACGCTGCGTGAATTATTTAAACATGTTACTAATGGTTTCCACTCAGTGATTAACCACAAGAGAGAGAGGGGGGGAGAGAAGGGACGGGGGGGAGAAAGAGCAGTCGGGGCGATGGAGGGCAGCTGGCTCTGTGTTTGTATTTGGCTCTGCTCTGTTTGGCCCAAACTGGACCGAAAACACACACACACACACACACACACACACACACACACACACACACACACACACACACACACACAGGGAGACGGGAGTTGCT